TACAGAAGGTTCGTATTATAGAGAATATTTCCGAAACATTAGGGGCGATATGGTCAATGTTGGTAATGGCGAGTCCCTGTTTCGCAGCAAGATCGGCGGTGTCGTTGCCTCTTATGTTGAGGTGGGAAGGGGACCAGAAAAATTCAACAGTTTTACCGGAGGCAGAAAGGTGTTGAAGGATGGTCTTGACTGTATCGAGCAGATTTGGTTGGCTTGAAGGTTGGTGTGAGAGTAGTGATTTGGCAACACTGAGGGAGTCTGTAATTATGAGGTAGAGTTGGTGTTGATCGTGTTGGATCCATATAAGAGCTTGATAGATTCCCCATAATTCTGCGGTAAAGATGGAAGAATAGTGAGGTAGCCGATAAGAGATTACATCGAGTTCAGGGATAACATAGGCAGCTGCAGTTGATACAGGGGCATGGGTTTGTTTTGATCCATCAGTATAGATTTTTAGGTGTTGTTTATACTGTTCATCCAAGAGTTGGTTGACAGCAGTCAGGATTTTCCATGGACTAACACATTTGGAGCCGTGTTGTGTGATGGCCAGTTGAGCTTTGGGAGAGGAGTTTCTCCAGGGTGTCAAATTAGTTGGTATAATTGGATCAGGTAGTAATTGTAGGTCAGGGTGTAGACTATGACGTTGGTGAATAACACGACCAGCTGGTGGCTTTGCAACAAGTTTGGGGAAAAATTGCCTATGGCAGGATTTTAGAGCGATCCGGGTTAGGTTAGTTGATGGATGTATAGCAATTCTAGTTGAATATTTGAGAATTAATTATGTGCGGCGGACAGTTAGAGGAGGTTCTCCTGCAATGATTTGGAGTTCTTCCGTAGAAGTATTAGGAAGAAGGCCTGTACAAAGAAGGAGGGCTTTGATTTGGAGAAAGACTAGAAGTTTGAGAAGCGTCGAATTCACGGTTTGGTAGAGTTGGCAAGCATAGTCGATCTTAGAGTGGATTAGAGACCGGTATACTAGGAGGAGAGTATGTTGATCAGCACCCCAGGAGGTATTGGAAATGAGGGTAAGGAGTTTTAGGTCTGTTTGGCACCTATGTACAATTTCTTGAATGTGTGGTTTCCAAGTTAGGTGTTGGTCTAACAATAATCCTAGGAACCAAGCCTGTTTGGTGAAGGTGATAAGCTGGTTTTGTAGATAGAGTTGTGGATAATCTTGTAGATTTAATCTTTTGGGGGAGAAAATAATTGCTTTAGTTTTAGTGGGAGAAAGTTTAAAGCCCCAGTTATCTGCCCATTGGGATACAGCGTTAAGTCCCTGTTGTAGAAGTTTGACATGTTTTGCAAGTCTTGGATTACAGATTAGCCAGATACAGCTATCATCGGCGAATTGTGATAGTTTGATTTGTTTGGGGAGGTAGCTGGCAAGATTATTAACCATAAGGTTAAAAAGGAGTGGACTGATGACACTACCTTGGGGAGTGTCATTGTGGAGTGGGAATAGAGAGATGTAGATGACTCTACCAGGTACCGTTGTTAACAAACGTAATTTCTACACCAGCTGAAATATCACCACCTGTCGCAGTTAATATTTGGCCACGCACTTCTAACACTGCCTTATACGGCAGTAGGAACACGTCCTCGTTGCATGTATTAAAATTCTAATTCAAGTTTTATTTGATTTGTTTGAGTTTTCATCCAGATACTCGACGTATTTGAACTGTTACAGCGTTGTCAGTATCGTATTCTTCAGCAAGATCGAGATAATTTTTAGCCGACATTATTTTTATAATGGCTACACAAAATTAAAAATCAGTAGGGGTCATCGATGTTTTTTTTTCTTTACAAGTTTACGTACTATTTCTTCCACACGCGGTAATAATAATTTTTTGTCGCAGCTACCATATGTCTTTTTGTTTTTCGCTGTTGGCGTAATATCTGATAATGCTATTTTATTTTTGATGCTGAAGGTCCTCTAATTTTATCTGCAATATTTTGTCCTATTGCAGTGCCCGCCGAAGAAGCTGCCACCGTCGCGAAAGGTTTACCTGCGTCAAGTGCAATTGGTGCTATTTTGCAAGCAATTCCTGGAACATTTTCTAACATTTTAGTAAACATGTTTCCAATAAACTTTTGTTTGTCTAATCTTCGTCTATAAAATGTAGGCTCACAAAATTGATCATGCTGTTGCGCGCAGGTGTAAACAATAAGTGACAATTTCGTTGTTGAAATCTATTTGTCTACCCGATTGATCTGTGAGTTGCATTGTGACTTATTATTTGAGTTTCAAAATTAATCAGATAATAAATAACCTGACGTGAACTAATTTGTAGGATCGATCCTGGTGGAACGTCTGGTGAAAAACTGTATATCGTTTTGTCCTTTACTACCCTGGGCTGAGTAAGATCCAGACGCAAGAAAACAGTTGATTAGTATTGTATTTACGTCAGTATTTTTTACTGGTAGTTCACAGTCAAATGTAATGGTCTCTCTGGTATAAACATATCCTCGATGATGAAATTCTATCAGTGGTGAGATACTCTTTGATGATGTAAAATCGATCCCCATGCTATTTTTTAATGTTATCCTAGCCCGTGTTTTATTATAGGTTGCCTGCCTTTGTAATCTGCTCTTTTATCGTCTTTTTAAAATCGGTTATGTTGTAGGCTCCTTGTTGAATTTTAAATGTTTTCGGTGTCCAGCCTGGCACAAGTGGAGAAAATGTAAACTTGTTATTGACACCAATTTTCATTTTAGCCATATAATTTCATGCTCTACAGGAAATTAATCTAATCTCATACTATTTTTCAGGATCAAGTTGCATTGGCGGATTTTAATAAACAGAAAAGTGTACGCTGTTTCCTGTTGCCTGCGACGAATCGAGAAATAATGTGATTGACATTAAATAATATCGCCTCGAATAAATTAAATCAAGGTTTAAAATTTCGTACTGGTTCGATGTTAGTTATCCGCTCTATCTAAGATGATCTAGTATATCCACAATTCGTTATCGATCTCTGCGCATTCATTACCAGCCTCTTTGGATGATATCAGCAACATTAGTATTTCGACTATGTTTGCGTTTGATCTAAACACTTTGACTCCAGATCCAGTGGTTTCCTCTGGTATTGTTTTATCTCGTTTTCTTTCCTACTCATTAAAAAGCCTTTTAAAATTCCAACCTTTAACATAATCTCCTGATTTACTTCGATAACGATTTACTGTTTTACCTAAAATATCAGCAATAACTCCATCCCTCATTCTATGAAACGCATCACGCATTTATTCGTTTGTGCTGGCTTATTTTAGAGCTTTTTCAGCTATTGGAAGATCTTTAATTTTACTAATCAAAATTTCTCCATTTCATTGTAATCGTCACCACTCCAATCTTTCATTATTTTCCATAAGCTTTACAAAATTAGCCTATAAAAACGTGCTAAAACAACAACGAAACATTTTTGCGGGATCACGCGCTACCTTGTCAAATAAAAAGAAATTGTATTTGTCCTTAGTTGCTTGATGAAAATTTCGATAAATTTTATCTTTCGTTTATCACTGCGTTTCTCTTTTGCAATATTTCTCACATCAAAATCGTCCAGTTCAGGAAATAATATAAAACAACCAGTATTTCGTCTGATAAATCTATCGACGGTGTAAAAGCCTTGGGCCAGATAGACCGAATTACATTTTTTGTTACGCGATAATAAAAAATAAGTTCTGATCTTGTTGGTCTCCTCGTTGTTTAGCGGAATATCGTCAAATACAATTATTTTATACTCGGATGAATCAAGTTCGTTCACTGGAATGAGTTCTTCTGGTTACCTTATCAAAAATATATCATCGCCAGCGCCAAGTTCATCACGAAGATTATCGTTGTACTCGCTTAATAATTCGTATTGATCCTGTTGTTAGTGAATTGTGTAAATATATACCTTATCCTATTAAAAGTTGTCGCTGATCAAAAGATTTCATAACAAATTTGTTTTACCTGATCCTGTACGACCCACAATCGTTTGGTATCAAAATTTAATATCTTCGCCATTGTTGTTATATAATTTTATGTAATATTAAACTGACTAATATTGATAATTATACGTAGAACAATAAATAATAATGAGCTGGAAATTTGAAGGTCAGCAAGGTGACTTTTCTAGATATGCAACTCTTGATCATCTTAGAAATGAGATAAATAATTTATTAAATATCATAAGCGTTCTTTCGATGACAAACAAGGACTATTAAAGACAAGTAATGTACAACTGTCAGGTGTACTTGTACAAATTCCCAACGCCGTTGTTGATAATATCGTTACTTTTATTAATTAAGATAAAATACAAGATTCGGATAACTCGGTTAAAGATTTTATCAGGCAATTGGTTTTTGTTCACGGCTAACATCGGCATGAACCAAAATAAAATTACATACCTTGGATACACAACCGCTAGTATCAATTACAAAAAGTTACTTACGGGTATAAAATATAATATGGATGATTTAATACACGAGTTTCGTACTACTGACAGTATACTGACGGATATCCTATCCATGAGGGTCAACACGCTGATCCCAGGAAAATCGTTTTGGGATGGAGTCGGGGGTCTCCGAGATGATGATTTATATTTGTTTGGAGGTTGGAAAAGGTCTTTGAGCCAGATCCGGTCTTTCCACTACCACTCATATTTTCTTCACAACGACTAATGAATTATCAATCGCATATATCGAAACCTCCACAACATATCATACATATTCCTATAAAACACATTTTTCTGTATATCATGTATGATGGAAAAAAGCTCGTATAATGTTAAATGGACTGAATTTACTGTATATATGACTAAATGCAACATGCATAAAGTACCAAGTACAGCATGTAGCGAAATAAACACCGCATATATGCCCGACGCAGCACTTATACACCAGATACACTTACAATACTACTGAGTATACTATATTATAGTAAATACTGCTAACGAAAGAAATTAAGATCAGCAGACAGAAATGACGTTCATTAGTTGCATTGACTTAACCTTGTACTTTTGACCACTCCGGTGGCTTAGTGGTTTGAGCGCCCGTCTTGGATGCGGGAGGTCGCGGATTCGATCCCAGGCCGAATCATACCAAAGACTTTAAAAAATGGTACTAACAGCTGCCTCGCTTGGCGCTCAGCATTAAGAGGTTATTGCTAGGACTGGTCGGCCTGGTGTCAGGATAATGTGACTGGGTGGGTCATCATGCCACATGTCTACGACATGATGCCCCAGTGCTAGACATCACTATAAACTGTCACACTGCAGACATCGTAGCGATAAATTTTTAAAAGCTACGTTAAAAATATATTATACTTTTACTTTTGAATTTTGAGCCTTCTACTTCAAAACATATCGAGAAGGAAGTATACACCTCACGTATATGCCATTGTGGTACGGGTGTCACTGGCATTGTTTACAGTGTCATGGGCCATTTGAGATTGAGCGTTTGATGATAATTTAAATTAAAAATAATATGAAAGATTATTTAATGGCTGTAAAGGATTGGAGCGTAAGATTTCTTAAAAAAATCACTGATGAGACAAACAATACGAATGAAAAAAATATATTCTTTACCCTCCAGTTTCTGAATAAGTTGTCTCCCTTTAGAAATCTTTTCTTGTATTCTCAGTATAGGACTATTAGTTTACAAATCAGAACTGAAAATGGCGGACGACTGGAGAAGTGAATCTTTTCGCCGCAAAGTTATCGCACAGATGTAAGTTTATATATATATTTGTATTAAATACAGTTGGATTCAAATGTAATGTCCATTTAAAAGCAAAAAATTCAGCCTTTTTCAGCTCGCGCCTATTTCTGAAACAGCGTAACGTATTTTCGATGGATGCTAGACGTAAACATTTTGGGTTTTAGTTGTTTAAACTACATTTTTGTTTTCAGTAGAAAGATAATGTTTCAGTAACATACAAGTTTAAAATAACTTTTAGAAGAATTTACTAACGTAGAATGGAAATTAGTTTGTTAGTTGACGTATTATTTGTTCTTAACACAATTACACATCCTGTGTACTATAACAGTGTACGTATCTGGCTCTGAATATGAATGTATACATTGCAGAGCCAGCTACAACATGAGATTTAGCTACGATGTCGTAGCCTGAACTTGGTTGTGGCTGAGGCTACAAACTGATCCCACATCATGTAATGGAGCAACAAAAATCCTTACTAAAGTCAGAAACAAATAGTTTAGAAATTTATTACATAAGTGTAATCATTTTGTGAAAGAAGTTTGGCTTATTTTGAATTTATTAAGCCCTTACAGGATAAAATAAATTGGCATACTTACCCTAACCTCATCGTGTCCACAATGATAGAAAGCGCTAGCTACGATGCCGCCGTAGCTTGAGCTTGTTTTGTTGTGGTTGAGGCTACGAACTAATTCCATATCATGTAATGGAGAAAAAAAAATCCTCACTTTAGTCAGAAACACAAATAGTCTAGAAATCTACTAAATAGGTATAATCATTTTGTCAAAGAAGTTTGGCTTTTTTTTAATTTATTAATTCCTTACACAGTAAAATAAATTGGCATTGCTATGCTAACCTCACTGTGTCCACCATGACAGATAACGTAAGACTCTCCCTATGACCCCCTTTTCTACATAAGGCTTGTCAGACTATATATGGATAGTCTACGCTATAGTATTGTTGAATGACATAACACAAGAAGATTGAGAATGGATACTTGTGTAAATTGCGGAATATGGTTTTGTTGAGAAAATAATTGCTTCTTAGTGGAATTTCAAAGTCACTGGTAAACCATTTTTACTTTTAATGCGCAGAATTTCTGACTCAAGCCACGCCTTATTTTTTTTTAATTTGATCTGTTTACGTTTCCAAATAAGGCATTAATGTCCTTATATGGCACACAAACAAACGAGGCTGAGAACAGAAGTAGGCATTATTTGAACTAATATGGCGGACGATCAAAATGAAACTATCGGATAAGAAAGGTAAACAAGATTTTACCACTATTTCTACAATGATTGGCGATTATTCCAGTATTTAAAAAGAGAACTAGTCAATTTATTTCATAATATATCAAAAAACATGTTCAAAATTTTTTATCTTAGGCTAAAAGGGAGCTGGGTGTGCTCCAGTAACACACATAGACTCATGTTAGTACCATGTCCACAAAAGGACTAAGGTACTAATATTAGTACTAAGATAGCGCGAGGTTCGCCATGAACCCTTTTCTACATAAGGCCTGCCAGACTATATATGGATATCCGATGCTATGGTATTAGCTGTTGAAAGACATAATGTGTGAGGATGGAGAATGGATACTTGCATAAATTGCGGAATGAAGTTTTTGTTGAGAAAATAATAGCTTCTTGGTGGAATTTCAAAGTCACGGTAAACCATATTTACATTTAATCCGCAGAATTTCTGACTCAAACCACACCATATTTTTTACTATGATCTATTTACAGTTCCAAATAAGGTCTTAATGTCCTTATATAGCACACAAACAAAAGAGGCTGAGAACGGATGTAGGCATTATTTGAACTAATATGGCAGACGATCAAAATGATAACATCGGATAAGAAAGGTAAACAATATTTTACCACTATTTTGACAATGATTTGTGATAATTCCAGTATTAAATAAATGGACTACTCAATTTATTTTATTATATTTAAAGAACACGTTCAAAACTTTTTATATTTGGCTAAAAAAGGAGCTGTATGTGATTCACTACTGGCTGCTCCATTGACACACATAGACTTATGTTAGTACCCTGTCCATGAGATTGGGCTAAGATTCGTATATTAGTACTACATAAGATTGAACTGGAAGACATTAGAACTGTTCAAGAGCTGTCTTGAAGCTCTTCACTGTTGACGTGCCACTGAGAAGATTCCAGTCAACATTGACTTTTTATGAAGAAAGAATTCGAAACTGTTTATGTTCTATACTACTTAACTGTGAAATATCTGCTGTTATTTGTTGCTACTGTATTTTCATGCATATAAGATGCACCCAATTATAAGATGCACCCGTATATGAGACAGTTTCACGATTTGTGTAAAAATTATTTACATAAGTCGCACCCATATATAAGATGCGGGTTTTGATGATTTGTGTAAACAAAAATTACATAAGATGCATGTGGCCTAGCCATCTGCTGCACTGAGCAATTTATATCCAGTGGTTTCTTTTCCTTTATCATACATGAAAATTTGTTAAAGGTTTCATCACCCATCAGATGTAAACAAGACTTCATTACAATTATTAGTTGAAATCAAAGAATTGTCTTAGGCATGACCACAACGATTATTGTTTATTCTTATCTGCTGCCAAGCCAATAGTGGATGGATTGAGTACCTAGTATCCAGATTCTCATACAATAAATTCGAGATGTAAAGGTGGCTTCATTGATCTGTTAGGCCAGGGCTTCAGGATTAGTACCGTATATAGACCAATAAATGACAGATGTATGCGGTTAGCATATATAAAAGTAAGAATAGTCTCTTGTTACCAGTATATGTAAATGAGAGATCAATTTGCTTTTTATTTTTAAAATTTTTAAAATTGTCACAATGTCAAAGCGAAAATAATATACTGCTGATTTTAAATTAGACTTCATTAAGTTTGCCATGGGGCATGGCAACAGAGCTGCTGGAAGAGAATTTGACTGCAGCGAGAAAAATAATGTATGTGATTGTTACGTGACAGTAGCCATGTCGTTTCAATGATAGCGATCAAATTGAACGTTCAAATTATTGCTATTAAAATAAAGATCACATACTTTGGCGGCAGTGTCAACTGAGTTTTCAAGTTCATGAAACAGAACAATCTTGAAGTCCGGTCATGTAGAACTGTTGGACAGAAGCTTCCGGATGATTAGGAGAATAAATTGGATGTTTTCCATACTTTTGTTAAGAAGGAGACAAGTGAACTGAAGTTGGTACATGATAACATCATCAATATGGTTGAGATTCCAATGTCATTCGATGTTTCCAAAATCAGCTAGCTATATCAGTTCTTCAGATGACAACACAGCTGCATCCAATACCACTGACGCCACTGAAGATCTGTTAACATCAGTTATGGAGTTATTCCACAATGAAAATAGTGAATTTGATTCAGGTTTTGGAGGATTTGAAGCCAAAACTGATGACGATGAAAATGAAGATGAATAGAACAATATAGTGCATTGATTTTTAATTAAGTTGAACACTGTTTAGTAACAGTTTAATATATTGTGTTTAATAAAAATTTAAATATATGGTGTTATGGTTTTTCATATTAAAGTCCAATATTGAACAAATTCTTGTCTTATTTTTGAGTTATTTAGTCTTTCCTTATTTTCGAATGCACCCACCAAAGATACTAAAAATTTAAGTGTCTTTGAACCAAACCGGATGTACAGGTAATATAATCACTGTATGTTTTGCTGTGATAATTGTAACAATAATTATTGAACACTTACCCAATTGTTTTTACAACTAGAAATGAAAATCGTGAAACATGAATATGGACTGTAATAATCGCTCTTTAGTTATTCACACTAAGTTCGTTCGTGTCACAAATAACGTATTTTCGCACACTTAATTATAAGACACACCAGTATATTAAACTCGGGATTTGACAATTTGTGTAAAAATATTTTACATAAAACGCACACATATATAACAGACCTGTTTACCCGACCGTATTTGACCGTATTTGTACGGAATAAAGGCCATCCGTACGGTCATACGGTCATTGAACTGAAAATACGATTTGAGGTTGCATTTATTTATTACTTTTTAAAATTAATTTTTTAAGCCGTTTTTCTTTCCGTTTTGTTTCGTTGTATCTCTTCGGTCCGCATCCGCGTCCGCATTTTGTGCCACGTCACTTATTTTGACATTCTCAACATCCGGTCGTTTAAACAAAGGAAAATGCCGCCGACAAGAAAGTTTCAGCACGAAACTGATGATGCAAATGGAAAGTCTAACACAGAAAGCAGCATTTTCTACCAGTTTATTCTACTCTGTGGCTATGCCTTAAACCATCGTCAAAAGGAGAACATTTTGTGCATTGCACTGTTTGCAACTTAGACTTTTCCTGTGCACATGGTG